AAGAAAATAAACTTCATAAACACATCTGGCGAGAACAAGGCTCCAAGTGTCCAGCAAAACAAGTCATAAAACTAATGCTACGAGACATTTGACACGGCCTCGCCATAAAGCATCTATCGACGACAAATTATAAAACATCTGGCGTACACAAATCATAAAATTAGCCTAAAAAACACAAGCCAGATGATACACTCAAAAATAATGCTACACCTAACCTTCACAACATTGACCGATCGCAACGCGCATGATTATAAGAAATGAATGCAACAATGCTAGGATGGAGAGGGAAAAGCGCGGCATCAAGAGCCCCCATAATGGAGGGGAGTTGAGCAAGACCCGCTCTCATTGGAGCCTCCATCTTGGAAAGACTCACTGGTGGGAGACCCCACCACTCGAAAGGCGCCGTGATTGGAATTACCATAAACTAAAGAAGAATTCTGAAACAGATACACTAATAAGACTAAATCTCATTGGCGACGCCATGATGGACAAGACAGCTCTGATTGGCGACACTAAAAGAGAGGGAATTTTCACCGACCACCGCCTGTTCGAGAGAAGGCTTTAAAAAAGGCAACGCCGGCACTGCATAATCACTTATCTTATCTAACAGAAAAAGAACAAGTCAATTAAAACGCAGTCAAACAATTAGAAAGTCCACGTAATTACGCAAGATTATTCTATTCAACACAAGTGCTAGATAATCAATTCATACACTCGCAGCAGTGCAATACAAGTAAAAAAGGGGAATCGAGAATTACGAATATCAGTTCGCACAGTATACACAATCAAACTGCCAGGAGCCACACGAGGCAACTCAAAGATCAAGGCAAAACATAGCTATACATAACGTGCAGAACTACGAGGTAACGTTGCATTCCTAATTCATACATAACTATATCAAGCTATACTATACATTGCAGATACGTAAAGCTATCTGCAAAACATAATACAAGCAATATAAGCGACGCCACGTGCTCATATACAAGGAAGCGCGGGGGTTTACGACCTCGCTCTTCTGTGTGTATTATTCTATCCACACGTGTGTCACATATAGAGGACCAGCAAGGCATCAACTTCTTTCTGTGTATGCGGAGTACGTGATAGCTCAGTGGCAATAAAACATCCAAATCAAGAAAAGCAAGCACTCAATCATTAAAATTAAAACTAATTATAATTCAATTAGTGAAATCGTAAATAAAACATAACTAAATAACAAAACTACTTTTTTTTTAATACATGTACTATCTTGTCTACTAGCCTGCAATCCTATCAACATCGGGAGCTCACAAATAATCTTAGTTACTTGGCCCTCCTCGCCCGGTACTCTATTTTTATACATATATCATTACTATCTCATGTGATATTCGTCCGATTCGTAAAGCAGTTTTGATATAAAACAATGTATTACCGCTTTTTACAATATGATATCGTGTTGTAGCTATTTTATGAAAGAAAAAAATTTTTAATTTAAGAACATAAAATAATAGATATTCGTGAAACTAGCATATGGTTAGCCCGGTACACTATTTTTAAACACATAGTAACCTAATTCAGTGCAAAATAAAAAATTACATCAATGAATTTTATTAGTTTAATTAAAATAAAATATATATTTTACTTAGTAAATTAAATGTTTGTATATTGTATACAGTATTCTTAGTGTATTGTAGCTGTTTTTTTTTGCGAGAATCTTAATTTTTATTGAATATTATTATGAAATAAATAATAAGTAATTTCTTATTGCTTTACATATATTTTTTATTAAATTTTCTATTTCGTACAAATAAATATTTATAGATTAACAATTGACACAAGTTTTTTTAATTATCATTGTAACTGCATTTTTTAAATACTTACTGTTTTTTCAGATTTCCAATGACCACTGGGTGGATCAGGTGGAATTGGAGTACCTTCTACAAGTAACGAATCATCCATAACAGGTACAGTAGGTAAATGTACTTCGATGAGTTTAGATGTTTCTTGAGCTCTTGTCATAGTTGACCGAACTATTGTTGTGTAAGGAACAGCTATTTCAGCCAATCGCATCCCTGTAATTTCTGCTTGTAATTTTCCTAAAAAAAATTATAATAAAAAATTAGAGGATTGTGAAGATTTTAATTAGACATTAAAATTATTATTAATATATATTAATATATTTTACAATTATTGTCACAGGAACAACGATAATTATGACATTTTTTTATTGTAATTATATACGCGGAATCATAATTGTTTTTTCTACAATATATGTATTATTCTCTCTTTTTTAAGAATATAGCTAATGAACATATATTTCGCGGAAGTTTTCTAATCTAATTGTTCGATTTTCTGCAGAAAATGTTATTCAATTTCTTACGTTAATAGATACTATAAGAAAATAGAGAATACACAAATGCTAAGTTTATCCATCAGCTTTTTGGAAACATTTCGATATCATTCAATTATGGAAAGCAGTTTCTTTTTTGGGAACAGCATAGATTGTTTACGTAAAAATTTTCTTTAAAACAACGAAAAGTCTATGATCATATGTACTCTTTAAAATCATTACTTTCTTTCATGATCTAAGATTACAATATTTGAGAATATTTCGAAAGCAATAATATAGTCACCTTCAATTACATGGATATCGATTGATTTGATATTTAAAAAAATTAAAGATATGTTTGAGCTGTATATTTAGATGTAAACAATTTGTTCGAGATTGCGAGACCTTTTTTTAATGCAATATAACATCGTAAAATTTGTCTTTAGATTTCAAAACTTTTTTGCTCGCAACTATCTAGCAATAGCGTCATAAAACATCTGGAAAAAAAAATTCAATAAACACGGAAAAACTAACTCAGTTAGGCATATGTACGAATTCGCTCCGCTCGGTAATTACTTCAGGCATTATGTCGAGCGGACCTACACCCCCCCCCCTTTCCACTGTCGACAAGTTATCATGCTGTCGCCAGATGCGTCAGCGGCAACGAGAGTTCTTCTTGTCATGAAAACCAAGAGACGACTAGTCCCTTAACTAACTATAAGCCCACAAGAGGCGCTGCCCGCGTTCTGCAAGGGAAAAATCCCTGATTGGACGGAAAATAAGGGAAGGGGATTAAGTGAAATTCATGGTCAGTAAATGTACTTAAGCATTTTTTAATATTCATCACTGTCGATATAGTACACACTCAATACAGTACTTATTCAAATAAGTGAAGTGGAAGTCCGTTTATGGTGCCAAGGGAACAGTGCTTACATGTCCTAAAGGAACGACGACATACACCCGTATGTCCACTAACGCAGTTCAAGAAACCGTCGTTACAAGTTCAAATGAAGCAAAGACAATCCACATATTAGAGTCCGAAGACGCTGGCAGTTTCTTATTAATGTAGTTCAACACAGCTATCGTTACAAGTCCTATTGCCGGGCGACGGATTCCAACGACAAGTGTCCAGTGACAAGCCCCCTTGAAGAAAGAACAAGGAGGTCCCAATTTCAAATATACCAGCAGTCTTCGTAAGTAATATTATTATTACAATAATTACATACTCTGAAATTCAGAGATTATGAAATCGACAAGTAACTAAGAACGAAGAAGCTCTCCCCAGAGCAACAGTGTGGAATAGATTCCAGTACGCGTTGTCAAGTTCGAGCCCGTTAAAAGGGCGTCTTTTCGGCAACCTTCACCTTAGTTCAAGTTCGGACGCTTATGAAATTAAGCAACAAACAGCGCGAGTATCGACGAATCAAGCTTCGCGCCATTCTACAGTCATATTCAAATCGTCAAACTGCATAGATAAATATACGTTTGCCACCACAAACACATCAATCCAATTCAAGAGTTATTTCCATAATTAATAATAATAATACTAGTCAACCTCGTCATCAATAAATAACAGAATAAATAGCATATACATTAGCCATATTACATTATATTATTATAATATCCCTTCCACTTGTGACCTTTCATCGCTACCACACAACACTCGTGGTCTCTGAGTTGTCAACGGCATCAATTCGTATCCTTCGAACCGGTCTTGGTAAAACAAGCCGGAATGGCGAATACATTTTGTACATAATTCTTTACTCGATATAATTGGAAATATACTACTTCGTATCCTAAACTACTAACAACTTTATATTTGTTTATATTTAACTAAAAGACCACTAGATGTTATGTGGAACAATTCTTGGGCAAGTGGAAGGGTTAGTGCATTGATTCAATATTTAACATATCTGTTTCTATTGCTGTTTATTACATCTATTTTCCAAAGACAGGGTTGATTATTGTTGATGAAGTTATAGATGACCCATTGTTGCTCTTTGACTATTGGCACGTGGCATTAGTGTGCATTTCGTTTCAAGGTAGAAGGTTGTAAGGTTCCTGATCTTCGTGACGTGGTGCCCTTGATGGTTGATTACCCTGAGAAAGGGGAGGTTGTAAGGCTCTTAACACTTCTTCGAGTAGTGCCATATCGTGAATCTGCGACTGGTTCATGCGCTTGGGTACAAGCGGCTTCTATTAAAAGTTAGGTTCAACACGGTATGGAACTGAAGGGGCGACGCAGGCTTCTCGCGTTGCGCGCGCTAAGACCTCCTTGGGCTCGTACTGGCTGCAGGAGATACCGTGTGACCTGGGGGAATCGCTCTTTTCTTTTAGCATGAGTGTTTACTGACTAAGACTTTCTTCGAACTCAGCTGTTACGATGTTACTTCTTTTGTTGCGATTTTAGCATGAGTTTAACTATTGTGTTCGTTCTTAAATAGTTCACTTAGTCTGGTATCAATTTGATATCCCTTCCCCTTTTTTGTGTCCAATCAGAGCGCGGCCTTTAGGAGGCATGATTGAGCATGCACACCTCTTTGCCCTCTTGACAACAATATATGCATTGTGTCTCGTGACATTGAAAGCACACGCGTGTCGAGGACTGCCCGATGTCACACGTGCTGGGTTTTAGGTTGTAATCAATTTTTGGAAATGTTTTTCTACTCGTTAGATTACGTACATCTGATACTCTCTAAATGTTCTAGCATAAACAGGCTTGTTGCGTTTTTGCCAGTAAACAACAAGGAACGTTTATCATGACAAAAAATAAGCGCGTTTGTAATGCGAAAAAGAATGGAAATGACTGTTCACGAGTGTTTTTCAGATGTACTAACTTTTCCGAGCCTCAAACAACCGTGGGAGAATTTTCTTAGAAATTATGTCCGTTCAATATTTCCCTTTGAAATAATAGCCGCTGGAACGTTTCCCAGCATATAAATTCACGAGATTCTCTGAATCTTGAATAGTATTATTATCTAATACATATCTTGTCATTAGCTTGTATATTGAAAACTAGAATTACTGATCTACTAACCGTAGAATTTTTTTGTGCACATTGTACAGAATATAATACCATCACTTATATTTTTGTGACAATATTGCATTCGTTAGCCATCATAGTTATTTAATTTTTTTTGCAATTGATTAAATTTGATTATGTTATCACTGAAGGGCATTGATTCAATTTTGCTACTTGTATCAAATAGCGATTTTCTTTAATTTCTTTACCAAACATTAACGAATGTAGTTAATTAATTAAATATAATTCAATTTAATTCAATTCAATTCAAAAGTAAATTAATTCTATATAATTAAATTCATGAATATATTCAAATAGGAAAATTTTATAAAATAATACTTACAATTAAAAAAATTATAAAATGATAGTTTAGTTTATTATATTAACTTGACGTTTAAAAAAAATGTTTGACAATCAAAATAATAATAAATTGTTTTACTAAGTTGTGATACCAAGTATTTTTATATCGATATTTAAATTCGAATGCTATTACCACAGATTTTCAGGTAAACATAATAAAAGCATACTATAAATTAAGTATATTATTATTCATATGGTTTAGTTAAATTTTTTTTATAAAATTGCTAATAATATAATATTTAAACATTGTCCTTAATATGTGTATATATATATTCGGAATTCAATTGTTTTATAATGTTAAATTATTATCACATTAATATAATTGACATTACAGATGCTATACAATAACAATGTTCATTTTTTTATTATTACAAGAAAAAATAAATTGAAATAATTAGAGACATATATTTATTAAATATTCTCACTCGATTATTAAAATTGTATTTATACTTATTTGGATTGGCGAATCGTATAAAACAATTTTTTAAAGGTAATTGATATAAATTAAGAAATTTATATTTTTATTATAACATATTGAATTTATTGAATAATTTATTATTACATATATAACATATTGAATAATTTTTTTTTAATGCATAGTTAAATTAGGTTCTTATTTTTCATATTATAGATAGTTCATATTCGATTACTAGAGAATATTAGCATATAAATTTATATGAGTATATTAATATTGTGAAGTAGATATTCATTGCTAAAAGTAATTAATTAAAAGCCAACGCTATACTAATATCTTGAAAATAATCAATTGCACTATAAATGTACTATATATAATATTGTTATAATTATGTTATAATAATTGTTATACTATAATAATATTGCTATAAATATTATCAATACACATTATATTTCCATTAAAGTACAATAAAGAAAATATATTATAATATTTAGTCTATAGTGATTGGATATAATTGTATATAAGCAAACAGAATAGGCGTACTAAAACATTAAAGATTCTCCAAATTCATAGAAGGTAAGATAAATTGTTCACAATGGTTCCTTTATATAAATTATAATACTATTTTCAATAATTATAAAATTATTGTTATAATAAATATTTAAAGAAGTGAAATTTATAGATTGAGTGGAAAAAGCATAGAAGTATATACGTATGAATAATATAATAAAATTTATTATATGAACAAATCCCAACTTAATAATGTTTGCTTAAATGATAAAAGGTAATACAAACTTTGAAATCGTAAAAACAGAAAAAAAATGTGTTAACCATTTTAAAAAAATATTTCAAAAATGTAGTAAACTATATTAAAACAAATAAAAGTACTTAATAATAATATTACTAAATCATAACTTTTAATATGTATTAAAAGGAAAAATGTATAGTGATTACACACTAATACTTCTTTGGGATTATTAAATTGCAGAGGACAAATACTCATTTACAACAATATATTTGTATCTGGGTATCTATATAATACATATTTTTCTCTATGCATTTGAGTTTATAGCTTCAAAAGAATTCAAAAAGAATATAAAATGCATAACATATTTATAATATGGTTAAAAAAGAAAATGTTTGAGTTATACAAATTTAATATTAGGTAGGAATTTATAAAAGAAATTAAAAAGATATTTAAATAATTAGAGAAACTACTAATTTTATAAAGTTATTTTTGTAACTTTTAAATTATAAAAATATTCTATACAATTCATATATTTAAGTCTTTTATAACAAATTGTTTATATATGATAGATTTATGTGATAAATTTTTAAAACTTTTAATAGTCTAAGTAAAGTATTTTTAGTATGATTTTTCATTATTCTATATTATAAATTTTTAAAATTGTATTAATGAACATTGATAATTGTAATACTATAGTTAAATAATAACTTACCTAAGTGTGTCAAATGTCTATCATTATCAGTTTTTCCTTGAGTGTTATATTGACCATGTCTTATAAGTATTACATGTCGTACGATCTTTGCACGTGCTTTATTATAACTTTGTAAATTAGTGTTATCACTTATTAATTTTGATTTACTTTTAAAGTAACGCCTACAAAACAAAAATTAATTGTATTACAATTACGTTTATTCAGTAAATTTATTAATTTTTCATAAAAATATTCAAAAATAAATCATGATTATAATATATATATAGTATTATTTTATCATCATCAAAAAATTAATTCCGATTACACATTTGTTCTACCTTTAGCCTATTTATTATTCTTTTCAAGTACATATCATTCAGCGGACAGTGATAAAAAAAAATAAAGGAAAGTAGAAAATATAGGATAAATTGAAAAATGTTATATACGTACAATTGAATTACAATTAAATTTGTCATGATTTTCTCAATTTTAGATAAGATACAATCTAATAAATTAAATGGAAACAAAGACATAATTATGAAAAAATGCCATTGTTAATTCATCTATAAGCATTAATTGTATACAAATATTTTTACTTTCATTGTTATTTTAAGAAATTGTGTAATCGAAGTAGCAAGCATTTTTATTTGATTTGTTTCTTATTATATTATTCAATTAATATCTAAATTATATATATTAAACATACTAATAGAGTAATTTGAATCAAATTTGTTTTAAAATTATTTTTAAATATTTGATATTATCGATATTTAAGTCATATCATTAAAATAGTCAAGAATATATTCACAGATACAATATTTTATTTAAAGTATTTAAAAGATGAAAATCCAAAATTTTAGAAATAAAACTGTTATAACATCTTTAAAAGCATTTTATAAGAAATTGTTTTTCTTGTATTCTTTCAATACAAAACATGAATAAAATGAAATTATTCTTTAAATTATAATTTATAAATACAGGGTCCAGGATGAGACAACAAATTCTTTCAAATGTTTAAAATTCATTTATACATCTAATTTTACTTAAATGCGATATAATTAAATATAAATATTATTTATAATTTCCAAAGAAGTATATTATCATATTTTTTTAATCAGTTATATGTACAAAGTAAACCTGAACTGAAATTTTATATTTTTGTATTTCATCTAATTCGTTATATTTATGCATATAAAATAATGAAGGTTATATTAATTTTAATAGTTTTAAGTTACATGTAATTTTCAATATATGTAAATTATAGTTAATATTCTAATACAAAACACATAAATTTGATTTTATAATTTCAAATTATTATAACATAAAAAGAATTTATATAACAAAAATCACTGTTGTTTATACTTAACAATTTACAAATTTTTTATTCTTATTCTTACAACCAGAAATGTTAAAGTTTGTTATAATTTGTATAAGCTTAATTACATAATATGAATAATAAATTATAGAAATATATAAAAGTGAATTCCTAAACAATTCTAATATTTCAATTTGATATTAATTTAATAAAATTTGCATGTAATTTTGCATGTAGAATACATCCATTCTAATTTAAAATATTACAAAAGAAATTATGTATTATAAAAACATTACAGTTCATAGATACTAGAATTAAACACATGCTTATTCACCATGGTTTATTTATACTTATATTATCAAATTTATAATAATAAAGATAACTACAATATACATACTTCTAAACACATAATTTAATATTTAAATTTATATTATATTATTCATAATACCTCAAATGAATAGCTAATTATATCATAATTTTAGATACATTTAGATTTATAACAACATATATTCATATAGAATAATTATATCTGAATCTATTTTGAACAACATAGTCACATAAAAAATATAATAAAAAATTTATTTAAAATTTAAATATTAAAATTAATCTAACCTATCCCAATTATGATCCCACTTTGATGATTCAAGGTTTATATTTTCGGAATCATTAAATTCAATATTAGAAAATATACGTCCAAAATTATAATATAAAATACTACCAATAGTCAAAGTTCCTATTCCAAAAACTGATGTTTTTCGAAATTTAGAAAAAAATGTCATTTTCAATTTTGATATTGAATAAAATTTTAATAATTAAACATTTACGTGAGTGAATGTACTTGCACCTAACATTTTTTAATGCTTACTAATGCAAAAATTGAGATTTACTTTAGTTCGAGATAATATAAATATTTTATTATTTCGTATTATCAAATATGAATGAACTTCACGGAATAAAAATATACATGTTTTTTCAATATTTAACTAATTCATTTTTAATAAGAATTCAGTATGTTTTAAAACAATTTAAATTACTATGATAAAATATTAAAAATTAAAAATTTATTTTGGAATATACTTGTTCAAATTTCGCAATCACATAATATACTTCCAACCCTTTACTTTTATATTATAATATTTATCTTAATTTTCTTTATCTTTAATAGTAAGTAAAACAATTGAAAAACACTTGCTTAATTGTATTTTATATTTATACCAAATAAATAGCATGCACACAATTAAAAATATATATAAAATAAAACAAATTATTAATAAAAAAAGTATACAATTTGTAAAGTAAAAGTTGTATTTTAAATTAGAAATTTAAATAATTTTTGTCAATAATCTAAATTGTACAAAATATTTAGTAATATGTAAAACTAACTAAATATTAAAGAATTATTATTTATATAATATAAAATGATTTATTGTCAATCAAAATTATATAAATTATAATGATTAGATTTAATCATATTTAATCATATCGTATTTAATTATTAGAAAAATACAAGTATAATTATGAATGCAGTACATATTGTATAGTAAAACATTGCGGAAGTTTGAAATATTTATTAAATTATTTAAAAATTTTAATATTAATTTTAAATAGAATAGGTATGCTTTTAAAGAATAAAAATATTATAATGATGGAGCAAATCAAATTATTACAACATTTAGCTGAAGATTAGAAAATTTAAAAAAATAACAATCTACTAGTGTTTAATTTATTTATCTATTAATAGTAAGTATATCTAGTTTTCTTTATAGTTTACAATGAAATGAAAGAAAGGTAATGAAATGATAGGACAAATCACAGTAGAGTACATAGCTACATTTTAATAAATTATCTTACAAGCGTTAAGATGTAGTGGAAGAAACAGTAAAAAGTGACTAAGGATAACAAAAATTTACATTTGAAAAGCTTGGACTTTTGAAATGAAAGGTTATTTCTACATATATTCAACGGATCAATTGTGACTTTAGAATATGTGAATAATTCTTTTATTAAAATTCTATCATATTAATTCATTTTTTTAATAAATAGAATTATTACAGTATCATGTCAATTATTTTTCTACAGAAATATATTATTGTTTGTGAATACTGTATGTTCAAGTGTTTTGAGTCCAATTTTACAATTGTTAAAAGTGTGCAAATCATGAGTTACCATCGCAGAATTCATTATATTTGTATTTTTAGTATGCTCCTAATATATAAAAAATTTTATATATAATATATTTTATAATAGTTGAAGTTATATAATTTACAGATACTATTATATTGTGGGAAAATATTTGACTGTATAAATAGACTAGAATAAATAGAATCGTATAATAGTGTCAAATAAGCACTATATTATTACTTTTCATCTAGTCCTAAATAATTTGACGTTAAATACGTGAATTTGTGTACTACCATATTCGTCCATACTGGTTACAAAAAAGCTTATCAAAGAATCAAATTAATTGTTTAGTTTTTCAATATGCATTTATGAATCTCTAAATATGCATTTATATCCGATTGCTGCCACATTGATAACTGTAAAAAGCTAATGTATGTACATCTCTTGTTAATTTACGTAATTTCGAATGGTAACATATTTGTACAAAAGATACTATTATAGTATTCTTTATATGCACTTTTTATATTATATTACTTAAAGTTAAAATATACATATATATATATTGATATTTTTATATAAAAATTTTTCTCCATGATACTACAATTTGCAAATTATAATTTTTTATGTGGACTCGTCACGCTAATAATTTTTTAATGTTTATACTAAAATATAATATTACTGAAAATAGATGATTTATTTTTTATATGTGATAGAAAATATACTTAAATTCGTAAGATATCGTTAAAAAATGCATTTGAATTGCATTTTTTTTTGCAAACAAAAATGCAATGAAACTTGTTTGATTAGTACGCAGTTAGAAGCTACAATTACATAAAATTTAAACGTTTCATAAAATTACGCAATTACCGTTTGTTGTAATACATGGTTAAATTATTACATTAAATATTAAATACAGGAATTATAACGAATAAATAATAATTCAGTCCTATTCTAAAAATATCTCATGATTAATGATAAGATTTAAGTAATAGAAATATTTAAGTAGGTGATCTCAATTTTACTATTTATATATTGTAGTCTAATTTTATTATAATTCTTTACTTTAATTATTTACTATAAATTTACTAAAATTTTCTCTATTTTAATTATTCTGATTGAAATAAACATAAAATTCAATATTAATATTATTACTATTGTCGATTTCTTTTATATTTTATATACGACGATAAAATATTTATGAAACTATTATTAAAAATTTTACGATAAAATACAATTTGATTATTGAATGTAAATAATTAAAATTATATATAATTTGATCGTCTGTGTTGCGAAGTTAGTTTATACAAACTAATTTATTTGAATTCCATACATTTGTCGAACATTAAAAATATATTTACAAATCGTATAATACAATTTTAATTTATTTATAAATTAAATTGGTTTTTAACTTCTCATTTATTACAAAATAAATCGAAGCAAAAATATTTTACTATCATTATTCGAGTGTCAGCATTTTATTATCTTCTCTAGAAAAATCAATTACAATATTGATAGGCTCATAATTATATACATTTTATCCTGGAAAATGCATTATGATAAAAATTTTCTTATAATGCTTGTCCGATAGATTGGTAGCGAAATTCTTTGTATATTGTATAACACCAATGATAGTATTCGTATTTGATTTTCTTCTTAGAATTGCATAATCCTTTTTTTCAAATATTATTTAAATTGAAATCGTAATATGAGCACTACAAAACTTTATAGGTAATTCTTCAATCATAATAGTTTTATTAATTTTATGATACATTTAATTATTGATCACATATGATAAAAAAATATTGAAATTTGTATACTGTATATATATATATATATATATATATATATATATATATATATATATATTTAATATATATATATATATATACATTTAATTAAAATACATTTTGTTAATATATATTTTAAAATATATATTATATATTAATATTCATTATCATTTTTAAATATATGCATGCGTTTTATGTGTGCGCGCACTTATGCACTGAACTCTTAAATAATTTGAATGTTGTTTGTAATTTGAAATTAAAATGTTAAATAATAATTTTAATAATATACACTACATAAATATAATACACTCAACATGTTATTAAAAATATTTTTAAATTATGTCAAAGACAATAGTAGAAATAATTAAATAAAAATGTATTATATTATTATTCAGGAATAATTTACATATGTGCTATTAAGAAATTTTTTAATTAGTTTTTATAATAGCAAATGTGATAGTGGTAATTAATTTTATTTTGTTTTTTCGAAGATTTATAGTGTATCTAAATAAATGTATAATTTATTTAATAATAAATTAAATAAATATATAATATTGTAAAAAAAGTCGAGAATAGAATTATAGCGCAAAGTTTCAACGAGAAATTAAGTTTTTTCAGTAGTATTTACACGTTTATTTATTACCTACATAATATAATTATTAAATTTAAATATAATTTAATTATTAACTCATTTACTTAAAAATTATAACCATTATTATTAAATTATGACTGTGTTCGAGAATGCGAGACCTTTTTTCAATGCAATATAACATCTGGCAAAACAACATTGTAAAATTTGTGTTTAGATTTCAAAACTTTCTTGCTCGCAACTATCTAGCAATAGTGTCATAAAACATCTGGAAAAACAATACAATAAACACGGAAAAACCCACTCAGTTAGGTGTATGTACGAATTCGCTGCGCTCGGTAATTACTTCAGGCATTATGTCAAGCGGACCGACGCCCCCCCTTCCGCTGTCAACAAGTTATCATGCTGTCGCCAGATGGGTCAGCGGCAACGAGAGTTCTTCTTGTCATGAAGACCAAGAGACGACTAGTCCCTTAACTAACTACAAGCCCACAAGAGGCGCTGCCCGCGCTCTGCAAGGGAAAAGTCCCTGATTGGACGGAAAATAAGGGAAGGGGTTCAAGTGAAGTTCATGGTTAGCAACTGTATTTAAGGGGCGCACTTTCAATATTCATCACTCTCGATACAGTACTGTTCAATTAATAAGTGGAAAGTCTTTTATTAGCGAAGTTCACCACAGCTATCGTTACAAGTCCTATTGGCGGGCGACATATTCCAACGACAAGTGTCCAGTGACAAGCCCCCTTGCAGAAAGAACAAGGAGGTCCCAATTCAAATACACCAGCAGTCTTTGTAAGTAATATTATTATTACAATAATTACATACTCTGAGATTCAGAGATTATGACATCGACATATGACATGACAGCAACTAAGGGCGAAAAAGCTCTTCCCAGAGCAACAGTCGGAATAGATTCCTGAACGCGTCAAGTTCGAACGCCTAAGCAATCGCGAGCCAGACAACGCTCAGTACAATTCTAGGGCCGACTCAAACGACTAAGCATTCACGTGCCGAACAACGCACCGCTAATTTTATCACCGAATCAAACGGTAAGTATTCGCGGGCCGAACAATGCGCCGTAAAATTGATTGCCATCAAGGAAGTCGTAAGCCCAACAGGGCTCTCCGAAAAGCCATGTTCGAATCTAGTGTCTAATGTTTCTCGAACTGGAGAGACTCCATTAATTTAGGGACTAAAGCGCGTGCCCAGTACTCCTAATTTACCTTTTAGACTTGCACTCTCAGACGATGTTCTAACTTAATGGACAACTGCCTAATTACTGCAAACTCAACAATTCTCACTGTAAT